GGCGCCTTGTGGGACAATTGGATACTGGAATGCCCGCATGAATGCGTTAAATGCTAATTGTCAGTTAAGCTTCAAGATCGGGAGGAAAGGAATTAAATCAGAAAATAGACAAATAAAGTAGTTGTAAGACTACAACTGCGAAATAATACCAGAACCTTTTGATTAGTGGTGGAAAGATGGATTTGGCGAGAGATTATTTATCCCGTTTACGAAGTAAATGTGGCGAGGACACAGAACTTTATCAAGAATTTCTCAGAATAATGAGAGATTTTAAGCATGGAAGCATTAATGCAAGAATGGTTATAGATCAGGTTGCAGAGCTATTTAAAAAAGATACAAGTTTGATAGCAGAGTTTAATAATTTCCTTCCAGAGGAACTTAGACTTCAAATTCCTCAAAATGATTGTGAATATGCAGCAGCCTTTGTTAAAAAAGTCAAAGATATCGCACCTGCAATATATAATGATTTTCTAATGTTACTAAGTAAATATAAGGATGGAGAAAAGTCAGTTAATGAGGTTTGTGAACTATCATCTTCTCTTTTTGCATCATATCCTGATCTACTCGAGGAATTTGTATTATTTATTCCTGAGCTTTCGGGAAAGACAGAATCTTTGATATCATCAAACAAACAGTCTACCGAAAAGAATTTATCCGATTCTCAGAATGATTATTTAGATAAATCTGAATTCTTAAGTTATTTGGCTAGCACTGTACACTCAATTTCAACAAAGAGTGAACCACCAAAGGTGGTAACAAGAAAAGCTTCATCCAACCTTCCATATGAAATGACAGTTGTTCCTGAGTTGGACAGAATATTAGAGGACCAAAAGAAGAGACTTTCAAATGCAGAGGAAGGCAGTGGAATAACTGATAATTTAAAATCAGAAGGAGTTAATCAAGGAATAGTTAGTAATGAAAAAGGATATTCTACTCAGAAAGCTGCACCTCAAAGCTATTATTATAACCCAGAGGATATGTCCATTTGGGAAGCGGATTATCGAATCTTTGAAGAGGTTTACATAGCTTTTGGTGAGAACTGTCAAGATTATTATCAAGATTTTTTGAAGCTTATACACCTTTATACAAGAGGAGTATTAACTGTTGTAGAAACTTTATTAGCTCTTGAGTTCTTCTTCCCAATGGATAGTGGAGATCTACCTTATGAAGTGAAAAGAATGATAGTACAGAGAGAGTCAGCAAGGAGGAAATATTCGTATTTTTGCTGTAATTTTGCTCAGCTGGATTATACAAACTCTGCTAGGAATGGTAGTAGTTACCTTCATTTACCTAAAGACTATCCAATAGCGTCATGTACTGGAAGAATTAAAAGCGATCAGGAAAATTTGAATGATAAATGGGTAAGTATCCCTCAAGGATCTGAAGATTTTTCATTTAAGCATATGCGTAAAAATGTTTATGAAGAAAATCTTTTTAAATGTGAAGATGAGAGATTTGAATTGGATATGGTTATTGAAAATAATAGATCAACAATAAACGCCTTGGAACCGATAGCAGAAGAAATTAGCAAGTTGTCTCCCGAAGATAAAAAGAATTTTAAACTAGTTAAACCACCATTTTCAATTATTCATCTCAAGGCAATTTCTAGAATTTATGGCGATAATGGGCCTGAAATATTGGAATTACTTAAAAGGACACCATATAGTTGTATCCCAGTAATTTTGAATCGACTTCGTCAAAAGGATGAGGAATGGACTCATGCAAGACATTTAATGAATCAAGGTGTATGGAGAGATATTCAAACTAAGAATTATTTTAAATCCTTTGATCATCGTTCATTCTATTTCCGACAAGTAGATAAGAAAAACACAAATGTTAAAGGGTTCCTATGCGATATTAACAAGGCTTATATGCAAAATAGAAGGATTGAAACTGAATCACATAATATTACAGAAACTAATTCTGAGAAAGTTTCAAATCAGCAAGTTGATTCTCAAAATTGTGAAAAAGATAATCAGATTAAGGAAACGGGAAATGATAAAACTAAAAATATTCCTCTTAGATTCAAAAATGAGTCCAATAGTTGGAGCGTGGACTCAGAATTTACATCTCAAATGCCAGATTTGGAAGTTCACAAGGAAGTAATAGAACTTATTAGCTTTACAATTTATCGTCAGGCAAATGGCCCAGCAGCTGGATCCAAAGCCAGAAACTTTTTACAAAGATTTGTCCGTTCATTATTCTTACAAACTGGATATGGCTCTTTAGATAATGGATTAGTCACGTTAAAAGAGTTGCAAAGCGAAGGAACATCTTTTAAGGCAGGAGTTAGTAAAAGCATTCAAGGTGGGTCTTCTAATAGTAGTTTTAGCTCATCTTCACTTAGTGGAGCAGGTGAAAAATCTTTACTTACTGTGGAAGCTTATGTAAATGCAGTCACTGAAGGTAATGGTTCAACAGGATCCATTTCATTTAACGGTAATTCGATGTCTAGAGGAAGAAGGATGACCAGAAATCATTTAAGGAAGTCAAATATTTCAGGTCAGATTTCTGAAAATGTCAAGGGTAAATCACAATCAGGGGATTATGCTAATGATTCAGAGGATCAGAATGCTTCAAAGATTACAGATTTGGTGGCTGGGGTTGGTGAATCTGCTTCAGTTGATGAGACAAATGGAGGCGGAAATTCTTCAAACTCAAATGGTTCAGAAAATGCTTCTTCAAATGAAGAAAATGATTTGAGTACAATATTTAAATCATTTTCTTCGACTTATGATTGCAGAGGTGGACTTAAGTATATTTGGAATGATAATTGTAAGGTAAATTGGCATAGTAATAATTTATCTCCAGATTGGTTTTATTCAAAAAAGGTACAATATAACAGCGAAGGAAGAAGAATAAGTATGGAGCCTTTGGATATTGGCGAACTAAATACATCATCAACCTCCAATGATTCAGAAGATATGGTTAGGTATATTATGGGTAATGATCATGTTTGTTGTTTTATGAGATATTACCAGATAATATATGAGCGTTTGAAAAAGGCAAAAAGTACTATAGAGCAACGCGAGCAGAATCCTCTTCCATTCCAAAGATGGTCTCCAAATGGTCCTGATGTTCCGAGACCAACGTACAAACAAGTGATTTGGTGTTGCTTTGGACTTTTATCTGGAGAATTAGAGCTCAGTTTATTTGAAGACATTTGTAGAGATGCAATGGGGAATGATTCATATTGGCTTGGAACAATAGACAAGGTGTTGCAGGGTATTTCGAAGGTGGTTATACATATAGTTAATGATTTAGCTACTTGTAGATTAATGGCTATGAACTTGGCATACAGAGATACAGTTTTTGATCATTATAAGAAGTTAGAGGAGTTTATAGCAGCATCTAGGTCATTACTTCCAACAATTCAAACATCATTCTATATTATTACTTGGTCCCCTGGTAACTCTGTATTGAAAATTAGGATGAGACAGTTGGAGGATTATTCAATGACTTTTGTACCTTTTATTCAAAATGACTCGAATAATATTGAAAACTTGGATGAACAAATGAAAATTAATGACCAAAAAGGGGAGATATATTCATCTGATTCAGCGAAAGGAATACTGGAAGAAAATCAAGTGACAAATTTAAGTAATTTTAATGAATTAAATCAGGAATCTAAACCTGAAGTAGAAAAAGAAGGCATAGATAAAGTAGAAGAGGAGAATTCAAAGACTGTTAATGAAAATCATGACGATGATCAAAATTCTAAATCGGCTAGTAGTGGCTTAAAATTATTATCTGAAATGAAGTTATTGCCTCCAGAAAAAGCATTAAAAGACTTAGGAATGGAATCAAACCAAATCGAGGTTGGACAAGCTGTAGATTTAACAAACCATGTAGAGCTTTTACAGCAGATTTTAGTTCATCAATTAAGTAATGTTAGTGATGAGGCTATGGAATCTTCTGAAACAATAAAACTGAACCAATTTTCCGATAAAGAAAACGCTAAGATATCCAAGTTATTATTAAATAATCCCGTTTCATTCTTTGTATGTATGGAGCAAACCTTTGTAAAACCCTTATTATATTATTCACCAAAAATGAAGTTTATCGCAAAATTGGCAGCTTCTGCTCAATGGTTAGGATTCTTACCAGATAATAGTCATAGAGATATTGCAAGATCTCCATCAATACTTCGCGAATCCACTTCGACTAATTCCATAAGAAATAATGCTAATGAGCCAAGAAAAGCGAACCGTCGTGGCTTATTATCTGCTGAAAACCAAACTCAGACAGATGATGATAAAGGACATTGGTCTGAGGAGTCAGCTGAATCAAATAGTCGAACGATGATATCTACTAATGCTGGGCGAAAAGGAACAGGAAAGAAGAGAACTAGGGGAATGCCAAGCGATATTGTTACTGAGATTGATGATCTGGATATTAGAGTAACGAGAAGAAGAGCAGGAAATGCTTCAAAAGGTGGATTCAGAAGGTAGTAATTAAACTAAATTACTAAACGATAGCTTTGCTATTGGAATTGGAATAAAAGTGAAGAAGGTATCTTGAATCTGTGTTTATTATATACAAAACAACAAATACTACCATTACTACTACTACTACTACTACTACTACTACCACTGTTATTACTACTATACTACTATTAATACTATTACTACTATTATTACTAGATCAAAGTCTTGAGTTATATTTTAAAAAAAATGAAAAAAGCTGAAAATCCTAGAAAATGTCTAATAAATTATTCTCTTTGTTCATTTTCATTATACATTGATTTAGCCATATCTCAATAATATTAAATCTAATTTTCAAATATATCCAAAAGAAATATGCTCGTATTACTGCTTATTTTAGTTCCCATACGTTTTAAAGATCCATAATAAATTTCTATTTCAAATTTTTAAAAATTTCTATCTTATAGTAATTAGTATTGCTATCCGCTCTTCAAAGTCAAACTTAGTTCTGGAGATTACTAATCAACAATAAATCTGTCATAATTAAATTATCTACTTTATACCTGCTCGTGTAATGCCGCGATAGCTCAATTGGATAGAGCGTTGGACTTCTAATCCAGAGGCTCGGGGTTCGATTCCCCGTCGCGGTGCTCTTTTTTATATATATAACAAATTATGTGGTTTGGCGGGCTCCAGTTTTTTATAATTGTATAGGCAAACAGTCACTTTTGATTGTACGTGATGCGGGCTTGGTGTAGTTGGATATCACGTCTGCCTACGGAGCAGAAGGTCAGGAGTTCGAGTCTCTTAGCCCGTGTATTTTTGCAATTTAGTTTTGTTTAGTTGTACTTATTTTATGGAATTATTATTATTATTACTTTAATTCAAGATTAATTTTTAAATAAGGCTGTTCCTATATGTAAGAATTGAAATAAATTGACCAAGGTTTTGATTATTTCCTTTTCTTTTTAATTATAGAATTCTAATTTACATGCATGCAAAACTGCAATAAACATTATTAATGACGTGTAGAATTTTTTTTAGTACCGACATATAATAATAATAATTTATAATTAAACTTTTTAAGATTTAAATTTAAATTAAAAGTATAAAGATTATTTTCATGGTTCGAGCGTGAAAAGTACTTGACTTTTTGGTTATTGTAGCTTAAAAATAGCCATTGGTTGAAAAGAATTGCGAAGCTTTGTAAAAAGTTAAGTCAAGTCTTTACCGTAATTTAGTTTTCAATAATTGCCACAGTAATATTGTTGGATAAATTTGAATGAATTTTTATTTGGAATTTAATATTCAAAATATTTACCGGTAAAAAAAATACAAGTATGAGGGGAGTAAACAAGAGGTGTTAGAATTGATGGAATTGTAAGTCTAGCATTGACATAAATTACCTATATAATTGTATTACAATCGAATAGTGAGTTTTCATTATTTTAATGTCTAAGATCCAAGTAGCTTGCATTTTTTATGTCGAGAATTGAAAAAGGTTTTAACATCTTAGCTAACTTGGGGATAATGCTGGTTGCAGGTGGAAGCATTTTGGCGTCTAATAGTATGTATAACGTAGATGCTGGGCACAGAGCAATAAAGTTCTCAAGAATACATGGAGTTCAAAGAAGGATTTATGGAGAAGGAACCCATTTTATGCTACCTTGGATTGAAAGACCAGTGATATTTGATATCAGAGCAAGGCCCCGAGTTGTTGTATCTCTAACGGGAAGTAAAGATCTTCAAATGGTGAATATTACGTGTAGAGTTTTATCAAGGCCTGATAAAGAGAAGCTGGTGGAAATATATAGAAATATAGGGCTGGATCACGATGAGAAGATTCTTCCATCAATAATTAATGAAGTGTTAAAATCAGTAGTGGCTCAGTATAATGCTTCTCAACTACTAACTATGAGAGAAGATGTGAGCAAAACAATCCGAGATTTACTGGTAAAAAGAGCCCAAGAGTTTAATATTATTCTGGATGATGTCTCTTTAACCCATTTAAGCTTTTCCCAGGATTATGAGAAGGCTGTAGAGTCCAAGCAAGTTGCTCAACAACAAGCAGAAAGAGCGAAATATCTTGTTCTCAAGGCAAACGAAGAGAAAAAAAGTACTATTATTAAGGCTGAAGGCGAAGCAAAAGCTGCAAAACTAATTGGAGATGCAATAAATGAGAATCCTGCCTTTATTGCTCTTAAACAGGTGGAGACTTATAGAGAAATCTCTAATATTTTAGCAAAATCAACTTCCAAATCGCTTATAAATCTTTCATCATTCTTGCCAAGCCTCCCAAATAGTAATTTACAATCATCTTGTTAGAGATAAAATAATTGAAATATTGAATAATCCGTTGATCATGTTTTATCAATTAGTCCTGTTGATTTCAATTTCCTCAAATGGTTTTTGAGTGAACAATATTAGGACCTTCCTCCATAAATTCTTGCTTAGAAATCCAAATGGTTTTAAATGTAGCTAAAGACCCTAAAATAGATCCTCCTATCCAAGGCAACAGGTTTCTGTCGCTAGATGCATTAATTCGGATCTTAACATCTTTAGGAAGGGCTTTTCTAAGTTCAAAAAGAAGTCGATCTCCAAGTCCTGGAAACATAGTTGACCCTCCAGCTAATACTATTTGAGATGCAAGAGATCTTCGTATTTCCAAATCGCACTTGTTAATTGTATGAGTCAGAACTTCATGAATCCCTGGATACTCATATCCAATTAAGCTAGGCTGGAAAAGAAGTTCCGGCGCTCTAAATCTTTCTTTGCCCAAGTAAATTACTTGACCGTCTGGAAGTTTATAAGGATAGCCCGAAGCTACTCTATTACCGGAACTTGTAACAGCATCAAAGGTTGAATTCCCCATTTGGTTCTCATCATTTTCATCTTTCTGAATATTAGAAGAGACAAAACAAGCTGTTTCTTTAATATCTTTAACAATTTCCATTTCAGATTTAGTATGGAATACTGTCCCTGCAATTCTAAGCTGTAAATTAAGATACTCAGTAATATTTCGACCAGCAATTTCACTTCTAGTGATTGCATTACTTAGAGCAAAGCCTTGATATATTGGTACAGCATGAGTCACTCCATCCCCACTGTCTAAGACAACTCCGGTTGTTCTTCCTGAAGAGTAAAGTGATAAAACTGCCTGAGTCGAGATAAATAATGCAGGCACTCTATAAACCTCAAAAAATACTTCTGCCATTTTCTCTCTATGTTTTCGTGGGTTTAAAGCTGCTTCTGTTAGTAATACTGGATGATCCTCCGATGAAGTTTTCATTTCAGAGAAACAATAGGTCCAGAGAGCTTCCATATCATACCAGTCGGTAATAATTCCATTTGTAATTGGATGAGAAATTGACAAAATTCCTCTATTTTCTGTGCACTTACTTCCCACAAAAATATCCCCTTCTAATGCTCCTGCCATGCATCTCTTGTACTTTGGGCGTCCTACATAACTATTCACAATCACTCTTGGAGCTTCTTCTCCTGCAAATCCACACTTAATCGTGCCAGAACCGTTATCTATGATAGCCGGCTGGCTTGTGATTACATCATCATAATGTAATGTTGCCATTATTCCAAGTATTTAAAGTTAACTTTTTTAGTGTTTGAGGATGATTACTATTTCATGCATATAATCATACATGAATTAATTAATCAAAGCTTTTAAATTTAATTTCAGGGCTATTTACAGTTTCATTCAAATTTGGCTTGCTCAATTTTATGAATGTCTAAATCCTATTTCTGAGTATTTACTTCCAAGACTTTTTTTTTTTAATAGGGTTTCAAATAGAGTAATAAATAATTGTATTTAATCAAAATTCTTATACTGAAAAAAATTCCTAAATTAATGCAAGGTTTACTTTGTCAATTCCTTCTGCATATAGTATTTTTCAAGTATTAAGAATAAACATCCAAATAATTCCGAAATAACTATCTTATGAAGAAATGAATAATAAAAATTAGCGAAGCAATTTTTTGAACTATTTTTTATTACATGCGCAAAATTATAATGAACCCCACACGGCGCGCGTTGACACGTGTAATTACAAAATTTTTTATTTTAAAAACTTGCAACGCCGGTATAGGAAGGAAATAAATGTGGAAATAAAGTAAATTAAAATTTTCTTTTTTTTTTTTTTTTTTTTTTAATTTATTAAAAACAAAATAAATAAATAATTAATTATAGTAAATTTATTTTTTAATAAATTAACTACGAGGGCAAGACATTTCAAAGGAAATAAATCCTCGTTTCTATAATTTTCAACACATACAAAGAAATTCTGGAGAATAATTTAACACCAAATTTAAAGTAAAATGGATTTATGAGAATTTGTTCATGCTCTTAGAATAAAAGGTAACATTAGATGATTTTAAAGTTATATTAATGGAGTTATAATGGATAGCAACTTTTTGGAAAAAACGGAAGATATGGGTGGAGAATTAAATTGTATTTTTAGAAAAATCAAATTTGATATCCCTACAGAATGTGAGGAAAATAAATCAGATTGTGTATTCATAAAAAGTCAAACTTTTAACATATTAAATTCTCCATGCCAATCCCCAATTTTCTTAATTTTGAAACCAGAAATACCCAAAGAATCAGAAGAAATCAATCAGCCAGACCGTAATTATGCAAACTACAGTGTGAGCATTTCTATTAAAGTTAGTCCTATTCTTCAAAATGATAATAAACTATCGGCTTTATCAGAAAGTTTGCAAGGAGTTATATCTAAAAGTGGAGATAACACCTCGGAGAACTTCACACTCTTCAATGATGACGAAAATTCAGGTAATTACAATTCAAGAAATATTACAACTGGTTCAACACCTGTTGTTAATGACAAAATACAGATATCAGATAAGTATCCCTTTGATGTTGAAGAAGTTTCTGTACATTTTATGGGTGAAACGAGCGATCGATCTATACAAGAAAAAAAATTGGAAAGTAAACTAACCAAAAGACTTTCTACTATAAAATCCAGTATTAAAAGACAGCTTACAAACAACAGGTACGTTGATATATGCAGAAATCCAGAATGGCCATTCATTAAACAAACGAGCAAAGTCTTTTCAAAGAATGAGCAAGCAGGACTTAAGTCTCAAAGAGGCAGAGAAATTATTCAAAAAGGAACAGAAATTGACTCGAGTACTGAAGATAAAGATTTAAACTTAGCTTCAAAGAGTTCCTCTAGAGGTAGGACCAGGCAATGGTTGGAATCACTTTCAACTTTATTTGATGGAGTGTACACACAAAGAAGCACTTTAGGACGTAGTGCTGGTTTGGGACTTTTTTCAGATCGCCATTTCCGGAAAAACGATATTATCACGGAATTTGTTGGATGGGTTATTGATCGTAAGGAAGCTCTTAGACTTAGATCTGAAGGAAAAGCCACGCATATATGTGATTTGGTAAAGCCGAGCCTATATTTAGATGGTGAGAAGGATCCAAAACCATATATTGGTGGAGGTTCTTTTGCTAACGATGGAAGCGCATTTTTGGGAGGGCCTGGGAACAACTCCAGATTTTGGAAGTGGTATGACGAAAGAGAAGGTAGATCTAGAGTTTTTCTCAAAGCAACACAAGATATTCAACCTGGTGAAGAGATTTTTGTTGGATATTGTAAGGATTATTGGGTTGATTTTGCGGAGAAAGACTCCACCAGCTTAAGCAACAAAACTCATCATGTTAGTTTAGCTCCAAGAAAGCCAAACAAAACTATTCCAGGCGGCAAAAAGAGAGGCAGGAAACGATCTATCAAAGTATTTGAACCTATCGATAATGTAGAGATGATAGATTCTAAT